TAGCAGATCTGATACACGGCAGTAAACAATGGAAACCTGAGTAAGAGGAAATGTGGAAAGGCAAGCTTAGGCTGTCTGGTTTACCTCCTAGAACAAATTGGTTCTTCTGTCCTGCTTACTAGCCTGCAGATGGATATGCCATTCTGGAAAACACAGTCCTCACTTTCCACATTGCTTTATTCTTTGGTCTCAAGAATGCAGAGCCCCTGCACTGCAGCTACAAGATCTCAGGACCATGAGACTTTTCTCTGCCTAACAAGCTGGGTTGTACTGTTGATAAGCAACTCACGTGGTTATCCTCCTGGGGTAAATGGTGGTCATTTACAGAAAAGAGTTGTAGCTCAGGATCTTGGCCCACATCTGGAGTGAGTCCAAGTTCCTGTCACTGTTTGAAAAGATTGGAGAATAAACTTTGCAAGGAGATATTGTTCTCCCTTCTCCCCAATGGATCATCCCAAGATGACAATGAGGCTGCCCACACATCACCATAAATAAATCAGGCCTGGAACACTCCTGCAAGAAGCCAAGTGAGGACCCACAATTAGCCAAGCCCCGATCTCATGCTGGAAGCTTGATTTATTTTGCTGTTTCCTCCAAGATGTGAACACATATAAGTGAAAGTGTGAAATGGATGAGGGCATAAAGGAGCAACCTAATAATCCTGTGGAAAAACTGGTTCTATTTACTTAAGAAAAGTTAACATCATCTCAGGGTGTGCATGCGCATGCGTGCGCGCCCGCACACACACACTCTCAGCTTCAAGTGAGCTTAACAGAATCAATAGAGTTTTAAAGGCCATCCTGAAAATTACCTGGCTAGAATCCTATAATGGCAATATTTAATTTAAGAAGAGCAAACGGTACTGGGGCATCACAGGTCCTTATGAGAGTCATGACTGTAGGTTTTGGAAGGTATGTAAGCCTACGCTATTTTTTGGAGTCAGGTAAACTTTGTCAAATCTGACTCTATAGCCTATGGACTCTGGGCAAGTTTCACTAACCCTGACTCAGTTTGCTCATCTGTAAAATGGAGCTGGAGACATAGGCCTATTGTAAGAATCAGGTGAGTTACCTGATGAATAAAGTGGTGTAGTTGGTGTCATAATTACAGGGAAGCACAGTAACTCAGCGAGATAAAGGGCTGTATGGCCAGTGGGGCCAGGCAGTGGTCCTGGGGAGGCTGGGCAGCTTATGTGCTACAGGACTTCCTCCCTCAGTCAGGTGGTCAATCAGCTGACCCTAGCCCAACCTTAACACAGGTCTGGCTGGAAGGGGAGGGGAGGAGGGAAGCAGGCAACCAGTCACAAGACAAGGACACTGCAAAGCTGTGCATGCACTTTCACATGGGTCCTTTCTGATGGCACAATGCTGGGACAACTTGTCCTTCCCTTTTTTCTGAATTCTTTGATATTTTATTCATATGACTGTATCTATCTTTGTCTATCTATATCCCATGATTATATTGATCTGTATCTATATATATAGTTTTTTTTTTTCTTTTGTACTGGGGATTGAAGCCAGTACAAATGGCTTAACCACTGAGCCATCTCCAGCCCTTTTTTATATTTTAGTTAGAGACAGGGTCTTACTGAGTTGCTTAGGGCCTCCCTAAGTTGCTGAGGCTGGCTTTGAACTCACAATCCTCCGGCCTCAGGAGGATTGTGAGTTCAATTCCTGAGCTGCTGGGATTACAGGCATGCACCACTACAACCAACTATCTTTTTATTTTTTAAAACAAGTAATCATTGTTGAAAAATTTAAAACTTACGGCAGGCAGTTCTTTCTGATCACCCTGCAGGACAAACCAGAATCTAAACCTTCCTCTTCTGTCCTATGCCTTATAGAATTGAGGTCTCGTGGAAGTTGAGTTGGTTTTGTGCGAACACTCATTTTGGGGGCAGGTGGGTGTTTCCTGCCCCCACACAAAGGACGGAACTAATCCAGTACAGTCCTGGGTTCACTTGTCAAATGGGCTCATCTGCCAGGGGCTGGCTGTCATGAGAGCTAGTGTCACAGACCATGGGAGACTTACTTATCCATGAGTCCCTTCTGTTTGAGGATGCGGTATACTTCAGCAGAAGTCTGAGGTCCTTGGAGCTTCTGCCCATTCAGCATCTCCTTCTCCAATTCTTCAATGGTCTTAAAAGCAAAGGATTAAAAAAAAAAAAAAAAACTATGGCAAAGACTAGAGAGAATTGATTTCAAGAGGAGAGTGGGGAGGAGAGTTATCATCCCCTGCTGTAAGCCCAGAGAGACTCTCTTGGCCACAGGTGTCAAGTGACAGCAGCCAGGGCACACAGAATGCAGCAGGTACTGACACTGCTTTCTGCAGGGTGGTTCGGAGAACCAGTGGGAGTGGGAGGGCATCGAGGGGCTACCTTCCCGGTTCTGGCGAATGCCTCTGCCACCCTGCGGTTCCGCCCTCCGTAGCAGGTGGTTATCAGGTCGGCCACCCCGCAGCTCTCCAGGAAGGTGGCTGTGGACACCTGGCCCTTGCAGAAGATCCTGGCAAAAGCGATCATTTCCATGAGGCCGAGGCGGATGACGGCGGCTTTGGTGTTGTCTCCACAGAGGAGGCCATCGCAGAACCCAGCTCCCACGGCCACAATGTTCTGCAAAGGACACAACAAAGCCAGGCTGCTGTTAGAGCATCCCTGCAGATGAGGCTGCAGAGGGGACAGTGGAGACACTGGATCCACCTCAAAATGCTCAGCCCTGCTTCTCCTGCACAAAGGGTGAGGGAGGGTGAAGGAGGAAACAGCAGCTTCTATATCCCACTTACAGGACAAGGAGCCCACAGGTGGGGACGAAGCGCAGTGCAGTAGTATCCATCAGGCAGAAATCAGAATGGTTGAGAGCAGTCTGTGCTTAAAGTCTGTTTGACAAACTACTTGGCCTTTTGAGTTCTTTTTATTAAAACTGAATGCTTTGTCCAATTATCACACACAGAAAAGTGTACAAATCCTACGTGTATAATTTGATGGATTTTCACAAACTAAACATACCATCTAGCCAGACCCTGATCCAGAATTAGTGCAACCTGAGCCATAGAGAGAGCCCTCTTCCAGCTCTCCTCCACTCTTACTTCTCACAGCAAGCATTGACTCCTATTACCTGTCTTTAACTATTCTATGAGCTGGGTATAGTAGTGAACACCTGTAACCCCAGTGGCTGGGGAGGCTGAGGCAGGAGGAGCCCAAGTTCAGAGCCAGCCTTAGCAACTTAGCAAGGCCCTAAGCAACTTATCCAGACTCGGTCTCAAAATGTTTAAAAAAGGGCTGGGATGTGGCTCAGTGGTTAAGCCCCCCTTGGTACCAATAAAAAAATAAATAAGTTTAAAACTATTTTATGAATGGAATCATATAGAATCCAGTCTTGTACATCTGGATTCATTGTCTCAATTCCACACCACGGTTGTGAAATTCATTCATATTTTTACACATAGCATACTTATTTTAATTGTTGCATCACATTCCATTATTTGAGAGTACTGTAATTTATTCTTTCTTCTGTCAGTGGGCACTGGAGTAAGTTGCAGCTTGGGGCCATTACAAGTGTTGCCACTAGGGACACACACTGTGGTACGCACCCTTTGGTAGCTACACACAGGAATTCTCTTGGTATGGCATGGAAATCGACTAGGTCCACATAAGTGCAGCTGGAGTTTCGGTGTTTTGTTTCATTTAATAATCTCTAAACAAAGACTCATGTAACATTCGCTCTCTGCATGCCTGACAGACACAGGACAAATCAGACACGAGCCCTTCTCTTCCAAAGTTGATAATCTGGTTTGGGGGTTGGCAACCTAAGAGCTAACTGCTAGTGTTTTGTTTTTGTTTTAAGTTTTTCAATTTTTTTTTTTTAGTTGTAGATGGACATAATACCTTTATTTTATTTTTATGTGGTGCTCAGGATCCAACCCAATGCCTCACATATGCAAGGCAAACACTCTGCCATAGAGCTACAACCCCAGCCCTAACTGCTAGTGTTTGCAAACACTGATCCCCAGGCAACACAGTCACCCCCCTCATCCACACACTGTTTGTGCTGCCAGAGCACAGGCGAAGTCACGACAGAKCCCCAGAGTCCAAGGTCCACAACGCTTAGACATCTTCTATCTGGCCCTTATGGAAAATGTTTGCCAACCCTTGACAACACAGGAAAAATACCGCATGTGCAAAGTCTCGCTCCCTGGCTCCCGGCCCCGTCCACTTTCCTACTTCCTTTTTCCTTGCCAGGAAAAGACAAGCATTTTTGACTCTATCTAACTGCACTCGTGTTTCTCAGTAATTCCTCATGATTATTTAGAGATCTTAAAATATAAGGCAAGCTGGGTGTTCAGTGGTGCGGTCTGCAATCACTGCTACTCAGAAGGCTAAAGCAAGAGAACTGTAAGTTTGAGGTCAGCYGCAGCAAATTATCGAGAGACCCTATCTCAAAATGAAAAGGGTTGGGGATGTGGCTCAGTAGGATCACCCAGTACTGCAGACAAAACAAATCAACCGGAAACAAAAACTACGAAGCAAGTTGCTAACTAAAGGGAAATAAATAAAAAAGTGTGCTTTTTTTTCCTTCAAAGAAAAGATAATACTTCTTTTTTTAAAATTTGGGGATTGAAGCCAGGGGAGTGCTTTATCCTTGAACTACATCTCTGGCCCTTTTTATTTTGGGATAGGGTCTTGCTAAAAGTTCCTTTGGACCTCGCTAAGTTGCTGAGGCTGGCCTTGAACTTGCAATGCTTTTGCCTCAGCCTCTGAAATTACTGGGATTACAGGTGTGTGCAACTGGGCCTGGTAAAAATAACATTTTCTTAAAACACGTGACCCATCGATTCTGARTGATGAGGTGAAAAATGGGGAGAACTGAAGCACTTGTAGCCTACCCCGGGGCTGCAGGCAGTGGGAGAACACTGGAGCAATGAGGTGACACCAGGACAGGCAGGGGCACTCACAGCAGAAGCTCCAAGGCCAGTGTGGATAGACAGGCCCAATGGCTTTATTAAAGTTATCAAGGCAATGGGCTGAGGCTTAGGATAGGGGTAGTTAGCCTAGTGGTYAGACCACAGAAACTATTCTTAGATGCTTCCTGCACCACATCCCAATCACTGGAACCCATTCTGTCCCGGATACCTGACAAACCCACCCTAGGAAACATTGATGGGCTGAATGGAAGGTAGGAGAGACTTCATCTAACCCAGGGCTCCTGCAGACAGGAGGGCAGGGGAATTATTTATGGAGTGCCTACAGCGAGCTGCACTGAGCCCTTTGCCTGCAGTCTCATCTTAACTTCCCTGATGACTGTGAAGTGTGTACCTACCCTCCCATTTCCTGTCTGGCACAACCCAGGCTCAGAGAGGCTCCCTAGCTTGCCAAGAATACCTCCCTGGCAAGAGAAGGAGTCAGAGCACGCTCCAGGGACCTGGTCCACTCTGTCCCCTCTGCCTCATTGCTTCCACAGCGTGGGACACTCCCTCCTTCCAGGGTCAGAGAGACCTTCCTCCCCCTCTGCACTTCCGTGTCTAGGGGGAGTTGCCCCCGCACCCTGCTCAGGACAGCTCAGGAGAAAAGACTTACCAGGAAAAACAGAAAGAATGGCAATTGCTAACCTTACTGACTTGTTAGAGCTTCCCACATTATTAACCCCTCTAAATCTAACAGTCCTGCAAGACAGGTCCTATTATCATGCTCACTGAGAGCTGAAGCAACTGAGGCCCATGGCAAGCAGCTATCAGGAGGAGACACAGGAGATGCCTTGCCCAGGGGCCAGTGAGTGAAAGGAACAGAGAGGCCACCTAGGAGTTCAGGTAAGAACTTTCTAACAGGAAGAGCTGGCCCACTCAACCGAAAAGACTTGGCAGGAGTCTCCATCACTGGGAGAGCTCTTTCCAAGCAGCACTGTATGAGCAGACGCTGAGCCCAACCAGTCTAACCACACTAGGAGAACAAGCAGATGAGGGGACCTGGGGGCCTGCAGCCCCTCTGTGACCCCTTCACCACAGGGCACATGGGTCTGGACCATCTAGAAGATTCTACTAGATAACTAACCTTCCCATCAAGGGAAGCAGGGGACCTGGGCTCCCACCCACTTTAATTGCTTTATGGGGCCTCTTGAAATCTTTGCCCTCTCCCTCCACCACTTATCACAAGAAAAATAAACACACTGAACCAGTGAGAGCGTGTGTTTGAATAGCATGAGAGCAGATGTCCTCTGAGATCGCTCAGCTGTGAAAGTTATCATTACCCACTGTGCATTTAAATCTGCTTTAAACTATCTGCAGCTAAAAATACCAGGACTTTCAGAAGACAGACGWGCTTAAGCCCATCTCCCGTTTCCTGGGTTATGGCAGAACTCGGGCAATCATTCACCTTGAAGTGCAGTTTTTGCAATTCTGAATTGGGGTAGGTTGGACAGGCCCTGGGCCCTCTTCCAATGGCCATCATCCCACAAAAAGAATGGAAAACCAGAGAGCTAGTCAGATGCCTGCAGCTTTGCAGACACTCTCCCACCTAGGAAGAATCACCCCACAGAAAGCCGGATCAGTATCCACTATTTTCTGTAAGTCCAACAATCCATCTGATTCTTCCTGAGGCTAGCTCCTGAAGCACTTGACCTCAGAGGACCCCACCAGCAGAGTGTGTGCTTACTAAACGCAAGCTGCTTGCAGGTTGGGCCCTGTGTAAGGCAGCCAGGCCAAGGTGTCAAGGAAGGCCAAGGTCAGCCCCATGCTTAGCCAGGTCCAAGGCAAGCATCCTGAGATGAAGCTGCCTTAGCTAGAGAAGCAGTGTCCAAGAGAAGTTTCAGCAATGACATCACGTTTTATATCTGCTCTACCCAATACAGTCACCACTAGCCACTCGGGGCCACTGAGCCTTTGCCATGTGGCTACTGTGACACAAACTGAATTTTTAAGTTTGAAAACTTTTAAGTGGAGGAATGAGGATGGTGAGCCGCTGTTGGAGTTCTGAGTGCAGTGCACCCCCACAGAAGGAAGGCCAGAGATACAGTCGCAACTCACAGAGGACTTGTGCCCAGGCTAAGGCGGTTGGAGAAGTTCCAGGGCACGTCATTAGCTGCAGCTCCTGGGCTGAGTAGAGATCATCTCCCAGAGAAGGAATGTTATGGGGTTGGCTATCAACATCAGGCCTTCCATGCTCGGTGGGGCACGGACTGATGTGGACGAGACCTATGTTTSGGAGACATGGGCCATGGCATCGCCTCAGAACAGGTCCTGTGGTGCTCGTATGCACACTCTGCCGTGAACAGCTCTGTAATGTGGACAGGAAGTTCAAATCCCTGCCAAGCACCTGCACCTGGAGCTCGTTCAAGCTGTCTTGCCACTGTACCCTGAGAATTCAGAGGAGTTGTAGCTGATGACAACCCAGGTCAAGCAGAATGGCTTCACCTGTAACATGGTGCTGGACCCCCCMCACACACACACAGCGCCAAAGCAGAAGGTTCTACCGCTGCCTGTTTCTGGGCCTTCACCCTTTCTGCCCGAGGAGCTGAATGGAGATGGAGGCCAGGAGTTCAGGGTCACTAATGAGAAGGTCCCGTACAGGATTGCCAGGCAGCGGGTGGTGAAAAGGAGTCCAGAGTAGGTGCTAGACAGGGAACTCCAAGGCAAGGAAGGCACACCTGACAGCATGTCAGCCACCAGCAAAAGCCCTGCTGCAAGGCAGTACCCGGGCCAGAGGGACCACTGACCACACAGCTGTGACCCCTGCCATCCAGCCCAGGAACTCGCCTCTGGGTAGTTTTCTATACCGAATGCTTACTTCCTCAGCTGACAAAATAATATGTTAGAAAAGTTCTAAAACTCTTTTTTTTTTTTTTTTCGCAGGGCTAGGGATCAAACCCAGGGCCTTGCTTGGTAAACACTCCACCACTATTTACCACTAGGCAAGTGCATCTTAATCACCTGTTAAAATTTTATTTTGCAACAGGGTCTTGCTAAGTTCCCCAGGTTGGTCTCCAGCCTCAGTTTCCTCAGTAGCTGGGAATATAGGTATGCATCCATATGCCTTGCCAAAAGCACTTTCTTCACCAAAAAAATAAAAAAGAAAAGCTACGACAGCATCTTTATTTGTTCTAAAAGCAACAAATAAATTGCTTTCTGTGGAAAGAATTATTACTTAATTTGAATATAAACCTAARTCTCCACATAGGGCTAGCAGCCACGCTGTTGAACTGTGCAGATTTTGCTCATTCACACAAAGGCCTGGCTGGGTCTAGACGGGCCCTGACTGGAGACCAGGCACAAGGYCGAGGACGGTGCGTCATGGCCAGTGCCCTGGAGCAACCTCCATGCCCCACAGTCAGAACCACAGAAGAGCCACAAGGAGGAACCCACGAATCCGTGGCACAGTTGGCTGGTTTATCCCAATCTATTCTCTTCTTCCAGAGTAACAGAGTCACCCTTTTAGAATATGAAGACAAAGGCCATACGCCAGGGAGGCTGAAAGAGCCTGGGTCCCTTACGATTCTATGGCGAGAGCTGGTCATGTGAATTCTAGATGTTTATATTAAGAAAGAAAGAAAACCTTCTACCTTGCTCAGCCACTATTATTTTGCGTCTCTTTTATAAGTTTCATCTGCGTCCTGATAAAGCGGCTACACACTTTGAGTTTTGTACTTCTCTGTATTAGTACTTCTTATAATTTACACCCCACGAAAAGAAGTAAGACATAGAAGAATAAATGCTGTATGACTCCATTTATAAAAATTCTAGAAAATGTAAAACTATAGTGTATAAAAGCAGATTAGTGGTGCCTGGCAGGAAGTGTGGCAGTGGGGACTACACATGGTATTGTCTGGGGTGAATGGAAATGCTCTGTTGTGTACAAATCTACCATAAAAATAGTCAGGAGAGGCCATGGTTTTGGACTGATCTCCTGCACTAGGTCCCCAAAGACCAGAGCAAACCAAAACAGAGTCACTCATGCTAAATGCCACTTCATCAAACTGAAACAAAAAAGTATCCCCCCTGAAAACAGGAGACTTCTCGGCTTTAACTTTTTTTTTTTTGGGGGGGGGGTGGTAACCAGGGATTGAACCCAGAGGCATTTAACCATTGAACCACATCCCCAGCCCTTTTTACATTTTTTAATTTTTTTAAATTTTGAGACAGGGTCTCACTAAGTTGCTTAAGTTAAGACAGGGTCTCATTAAGTTGCTAAGGCTGGCTTTGAACCTGTGATCCTCCTGCCTCAGCCTCCCAAGCCGTTGGGATTACAGGCATGTGCCATCATACCTGGCCTCTGCTTTGACTCTTAAAAACAAGAAACCTGAAGTCACCTGATGTTAACCAATCAGGTTTCTCTCTGTTGATCTGGTTTTTTTTTTGACCTATAAAACGCACTGTCCTGCCTCTGGAATCTCTCATGGTATTTTGTCGAATGGAGGCTGCCCATATTCATGAATCACAAAAGAAAGCCAATTAGACCTATTACTAAATTTGTTGTCATTTTGTCTTTTGATAATATTTACTGTCAAAACAAATGTCATTTATATAAAGTTAATTAAAACAAAAAAAGAATATGTTCTGGGGCTGGGGTTGTGGCTCAGCGGTAGAGCACTTGCCTCTCATGTGAGACTCTGGGTTCGATCCTCAGCACCACATAAAAATAAATAAACAAAATAAAGATATTGTATAACTAAAAAAATTTTAAAAAAAGAATATGTTCTTTTCTGATTAAAAAGATTAACATAGCTCAGAGGTGAAAAATGTTCTGAAGGTAGTAAGATGCACTGGTATAAAATGATTATGCACAACCCCTTTGAACTTTCTTTTCATTTTATCCACATAGGGAGTGCTTTTAATGTTTCTATTTTTATTTTTCAGTAAGTTAAATGACCTCATGGTTTTGTGTACAAAAATGATTAGGTACTGCCGGGTCCAATGGTACACATATGTAATTCCAGCTACTCAGAAGACTGAAGCAGGGGGATTTCAACTTTCTTCTCTCTACCTATCTGTTGTACGAGACATAATGAATACGACTACTTTCATCATCAGGAAAACCCAAGAGAACTCCTATTTGCACAATAAGAGCAACACATGGTCATCATTTTGCTTTGGCATGTTCTGATGGAGGAGGGCTTCATTTTATTTACAGTCCTTAGATACGAATCAGAAAAGTCAAGTTGTACATAGTAACCAGAGAACACAGGACTACGGTTCTCGAAACCTATGTTGACTCCAACTGTGCCAATATTTGCCACCCTCCAGTCATTCACTCCTTGGATCTTGATCTCCTTATCTGTATGACACAATGGTTAGAGGCAATAACTGCCAGAGGATCTATTTTTCATTTAAAAAAAAATGCCAACTTTAATGCAGGACCATAGGAATGAGGGTAGCTAGTCTCCTTTCAAAGAGTAGCGGAGGGGGAACACCAGTAAGTGGCCCTCAAGCTCTGCCTGCCTCCACCCCATCAATCACCTTCTGTCATGGTAACAAGAACAAATCCACTTACAGGCTTCCTGCCAGGAAAAATGAAAAGTCATTCTAAGTTCACACACAAGGCCAGCAAGGCCTCCCATTAGCAGAAGCTTTTCCAGAACCCTCAATCTAGAATCTTTTCATCCAGCACTCTTTGTACTGATTAGGATTTCACAGCTTCTCCATTGACCACCAAAAACATCCAGTCACTCAAAAATAGCTCTGGAACTCTGGCCAGTGCTGAGTAATTAGGCATTCATGATGCCCCCTGCTGCTGTCAAGTGGCCATTAGCTTAATGGGGGACTATTAAAAACACATAAAAATCCCAAGCAACAAAAATAAACAAAGCATCTGAAGCCAGCATCTTAAATGCCTAACAGGGCCTGCACATAATGGGAAGAATACCCACACATTTGTTTAGAAATATGGACGCATTTAGAAATGTGTAAGTGTGCTGCCTGGGAGCCCAAGTCTGTAATTGGTTTTAATTTTTTAAATGCTCATTGGATATCATGACGATGCAGACACACACAATATTCATTCTAGAAAGAAAGAGACGACTTGGAAGCAAGCTGGGCATGGTAGTGCACMCCTCTAATYCCAGCAACCAGGGAGGCTGAGGCAGGAGAATGGCAAGTTTGAGGCCAGCCTCAGCAACCTGGGGAGACCCATGTGTCCAAAAAATAAAAAAGAAAGAAAAAAATCCTGGAAGGATTGGTGATGTAGCTCGGTGGAAGAGTGACCTCTGGGTTCAATTACCAGTACTGCAAGAAAAAGAAAAAAAAAAGTGAACCAAATAGGGTTCATACTGAGAACTCTCTCTTTTCTTTTTTTCCTTTTTCTTTTGGTATAACCTGAAGTGTTAGCTGCCTCCTGGCTGTTTCCTAAGGTCAGGACAGAGAGAGATCATGACCTAGGTTTCAAAGGCAGTAGTGGGCTAGTCTGGAGCCCAGGTATGGACATTTTTTCCTTTACCTCTTTTTACTTAAAAATTGTTGTGGACTGAACTCCTGCACTAGGCCCCACAGACCAGGCCAAACTAAAATGGAAATCCTGTTTCACAACAGAAAGGGCTGGGGATGTGTTAAATGCCACATCAAACTGAAACTTGAAGGAGAGAGATCCCAAAACAGACCCATTTTTCTCCCCCTGAAAATACGAGGAAGCCATCTCTGTTTTAAAACTTAACAAAAAGAAACCTAAAGTAACCTGATGTTGCTCAACCTAGCTTTTTTCCTATTGTTCTGTATCCACCTTACAAAAGCCCACAGTGGAACAGTGGGCACTTGCTATTTTGTAGAATATTGTTGGCTGCCCCAATGCATGACTCAAACATAACCCCATGGGTCTATCAYGGAATTTGTTGTAATTTTTGTCTCTGACACTCCCTAGACACTGGCCAATTGAGGTTGTTTCTTTAACCGGGATCTTTTCTCTCTCTAGGGCAATGATAAAACTATTCTCAGAAAAAAAAAACTTCTCCTCAATAGCAGACTATTTTTTTTTTTCCCCTTGGAAAAGAACAACCAGCCAAACCACCAAACCAATAGAGCCCAGAATTCAGGGGGAGCAAGTTCCGTTTCGTGCTTAAGGTAACAGGCAAAACAGAGGAATGAATGGAATCACCTGCTCCTGGGTGAGACCCCAGGAAAGCCAAAGGGGAATGCGACCAACCCCAAACAACAAAGCATCCCAATTCCCCATATACACAAGTAAAAGCAAACCCTGAATAARTGAGGAACAGGAACAGCAAAACAGGAAGTAATAAACAAGGCTCTCAATTCACCATTCTTCACCGAAGAATGCACAAACACAGAGCCCATTCTTCAGGGTGAGATTCCATAATGCAAACCTGGGCAAATAACTCCTCTCCTTGAGGTGAATGACAAGGCTGACTTTACCTTAAGAGCACCACAAAGTTCAACHGTGTCTGCATCATCAACCACAGTTATTCGGAAATTGGGGGTTTGCAGAAGTTCTTTGAAGAGAAGGCCATTCTCCATGATTTTGCTGCCTATTGAAAAGTTGGGGAAAAAAATAAATTAGGAACAATCTCTAATCTTCATCTTCACATCTTAGACCAATTAAATCACAATCTCTGGAGTGGAGCAGGCATCCATAATTTTTGAGGCTCCCTARATCATTCCAACAGGAAAACAAGTTTGCAAACCTTTGATCTAGCCTCTTCTAGCTTCAGTTTCCTCGTGAGTAAAAATGCTACGGCACTCTCAGGATGGTGGCGAAGAATCACAAATGAAAACTGCCGTGGTTGTAACAACACTCAAAGATCACATAAGATGATTATGGAGTCAGCTGACTTTGCATGGTTATGATTATGCTCTTCTACATTGACAGACAGGGAAACAAAGGCCCAAAGGGGTTTACCAACTTGCCATGGTCACCCAGCTAGTAGGAGACATGGTATTGTTCTTCTATCTTTTTTTTTAATGTTCCATAATAAAACATTTAAAATGCCGACATCTAATAGATGGAAATCCATTTCCTATTCTACAGGCATTACAGTTATCGATCATTCAGCCAATTTTGCCTTTTTCATATATTTATTGTCACTGTGCCAGTTTSAGCAAGCTGTCCTCTTCCTCTTTTTGGACAGTCCACCAGGCCTTCTAGATGATTCTGTGCAACACTATTTCATTATGTGGTTGGTAAACCAACCCTGGCACCATAGCATATTACCTCCGTACCATGCCTCTCCACCACCTCACCATACACCTCTGCTCAATGGGAGGGATGCTCATGAGCACCACAAATGAGCCCTTCTCAAGTCACTTTCATTCCGCTCTCTGCAGCTGGAAGCCTGAGTTGCGGCTGAGAGCAACCTGAGGAATGGGCAGAAAGAAGTGAGCTCTCTCTGTTTGCCATGCACATGGGCAGGGGCTGTGGGCTCCTCTGTGGCTATGGGTAAAGGTATCTATCAAAGATGGGCTTGACTTACGGCACCCTCACATTTTCTCAATTGTACACTTTAAAATTTATTATTTTAATTATGAATAAAGGAGCACTAACTTTATTATTATTACCAGTCACATGTGGCAAGCAGGGACCCAGGCCACCTACACAGTACAGGCAGTACCCAAGAGCCATGTGAGGGGCTGCCCCAAAATTGAACATAAACCAAAAGACAGGAAAATCCTCGGTCACACCAAGTTGTAGAGATCATCCACTGATTTAATAAAACTCCCTCCAAACCCTCATTTCTGCCTACAATTTCAGGTTTGTTTGCTGGGAAGTTCCTGTTTCCTGGATATTTCCTGGATATATTCCTGGGCCTGATACATAATAGGCTTTGAAAAACCTTTGTGGAATGACAAGTCTTAAATTTTAAAGGTAAACCCCCAAGAGCAAAGGGARCTCTTACCACAAGGGGGCACCATCACTCACCATGAAAGAACATCTAAAAGACACTCAAAATTGTGCCATTTGTCTTCTTCCTAACCGAAGACACAGTGGGTCAAGATTTCTGAATCTACCATATTTAAAAATTAGCTGGYMCCAAAGRTCATCAAGAAAGGATATCTGGAGAATCACAGTGCAATTATCAGATACGTGGAAGTCACTGTTGATATGATACTAGCTAATCCATATTCAAGTCTCACCAACCACTCAGTGCTTTTTCTTTTTTTCTTTTGGTACCAGGAGTTGAACCTAGAGGTACTTAACCACTGAGCCACATCCCCCCRTTTTTATATTTTATTTTGAGGCAGGGTCTCGCTGAGTAGCTTAGGGCCTCACTTAATTGCTGGGGCTGGCTTTGAATGGATGATCCTCCTGCCTTAGCCTCCTGGGCTGCTGGGATTACAGGTGTGTGCCACCGCACGCAGTGCTGTCTTTTATTTCTTTAATTTAAATGTTTATTTTTTAGTTGTAGTTGGACACAATACCTTTATCTTATTTATTTTTATGTGGTGCTGAGGATCAAACCCAGGACCTCACACATACTAGGTGAACGCTCTACCGCTGAGCCACAACCCCAGCCCCACCAGTGCTATTTTTTACAGCAACCATCCCTCCCAGCCCAGGGTCCCACTCRGGATCCTGCACTGCAGCAGGTGGTTGTCATGGCTCTCTAGTGTCTTAATCTGGGACACTCCATTAGCTCTTCATTGTCTTTGATGACATTGACATTTTTAAAATTAATTAATTAATTTTAATTAGGTATATATGACAGCAGAATGCATTTTAATTCATTGTACAAAACTGTACTAAACTTTTCATTTCTCTGGTTGTACATGGTGTAGSATCGCACCACATGTACAGCCATACATGGACCTCAAGTAACGATGTCCATCTCATCACCATCTTTTCTGCTCCCATGTCCCACCATCCCTCCCTTTTGCCCAAAATTCCTCCATTTTTCCCACCCCCACCCCACCCCCCATTATAGATCAGCATCCACTTATCAGAAACAGCATTCAGCCTTTGGTTTTGGGGATTGGCTTACTTTGCTTAGCATGATATTCTCCATCCATTTACCTGCAATATTGACATTATTTTTATACCTTTATTTATTTTTTTTCTGTGGTGCTGAGGATAGAACCCAGTGCCTCACATGTGCTAGGCGAGCGCTCTAGCTACTGAGCTACAGCCACAGTCTCCACACTGACATTTTGAACAGTGTGGGCTGGTTGTTTTGTAACTTATTGATTACTTTGGGCTTGTCTGATATTTCCTCATTTTAAAATCTAGGTGATATAAAGCAATTTTTAAAATATCACCTTCCTGTTCTACCTCACTTCCAACRTTTTGCTTAGCTGAGCTCAGACTGGTTGGTAACTAGTGTCAGGCACAGTCTAACCCGCAGAGAAGACAGAAGCCTTAGGCAAATAAAAAACAAAGGCAAAGAGATGTGACTTCTGAGCATTTGTCTGTCTTGACAAACCAAAAGGCCTCATCCACCCAGCCAGAAACTTTCCTCCAGYTGACAGGGGGAGCTGGGGAAGGTGAACATCCTGCCAAAATATGCAGGTGGATACAAGGTTTAAATCAGGGACTGTAAATGAATTCCCAGGCTTATAGGAAAATCGAATAATCAGTCATTTCCAACCAACTRGGAAAGGTTTATTGGCAAATAGGATTGAGTTGGAACAGCCAGTTTTCTTTTTTTGGGGGGAAAAAAGTAATTACATCATTTCACAGGCTACATTAAATTTGCAGATGGATAATAGAATTAACTACGAAAGAATAAACCACACCTACATATACTAGTTAAGTATATGGACAGTGAATTATACTAGTAGGGACTAGTGTACATGTATAAATAAATTATTTTCTGGAAGGATATTTAGAAACTGCTAAGTAATTCCCTTTGGGAAGAGGGTGTTTGATGGGAAATTAAAATCTTAGTTCTTATTTTCCATTTTCTCATACTGTTTGAATTTTTCTTTTTTAAAAAAAACCTGTGTCTATATACCTACACAGGTAAATAGGCCATTCTTGGCTTCTTCTGTTGGGGTTTAGAAAATGATACCCCCAAACTACGCCATTTTGGACTTAAAAGTTAAGAGACCTGGGGATCCATGACACAGGGAAGGGCTTCCCTAAATTCCCTCATCAATCCAAAGACAGGATCTGCCAAAGAGGAACACAGTTGCTTTCAAAGCTCCTTACTGAAATGCCATTAACCACGGAAGATTAAGCTTATATCACAGAGGAGGAGACAGAAAATCAAACTCTACACCCACAGCCCAGGGGAACTTTATCCCAGGCCTCTCTTGGTTCTCTGGGCTCAGTCTCTCCCCTAAAAATCACCTACTCCCCCTCTAAAATTGGAACACCACCCTCCTCCCCTACAAAGAGGGTATTTAAGCCTCAACCATCTGGCCCTTCTTTTGAGTTTTATATTTTGTATGTGCTGTTCAATGCATCCACATCCTTTTTTCTTATGTTAATTTATTGCCAGTATGTTTCAGCAGACTAGATTAGCAAACCTTCRGAGGGAAAGTTTCAATTTCCCTGAACTTCTTCATCTGTTCAGTTACCTCTGCTCTTCAAAAAATGTTGCTCAAAAAACTTTTAAATATCCAAATATGAAATTGTTGATGAAATATGATGTGGCTATGAAGATGTATATTAACAGGCTTTAAAAACTGTATATTAAGTGAATAAAGCAATTATAAAACAGTCTATGACTTAACGATAAACTAATAGTTTGCATGAGTCGAAAAAAATAGAGGTATAATTTTCATATACCAAATGAAAGTTAAACAAAATAAAGAATGGTTTTCTTTCGGTTACCTCTATTTTCCCTAATGATACAGCGAAGTACCTATATTTTAAAAAATAAAGGYGTCRGGGGCGGTGGTGCACGCCTATAATACAAGCAGCTCGGGAGGCTGARGCAGGAGGATCKCGAGTTCAAAGCCAGCCTCAGCAAAATCAAGGTGCTAAGCAACTCAGTGAGACCCTGTCTCTAAATAAAATACAAAATAGGGCTGGGGATGTGGCTCAGTGGCCGAGTGCCCCTGAGTTCAATCCCTAGTACTCCCACCATCCCCACCAAAAAATAAAAGGGGAAATGCCACGAAACTCTAATTGCCCTACCTATGAACACATGTGAGAATCTAAAGCTACACTTTCCCAATGCCCCATCTCATTCAAGAGAGYCCAGCCTCTCTCTCACAGGCTTCCTCTTCTCATGAATCCCATTACTAGTGCATCTGACAAGGGTAGACGCAAGTTCTGCGGTGGCAGGTAAAACTTGAACCTTYATAAGCAAAGCTTCTAAAAATACAATAATATTACTGTTCCAACAATGAATCAATCCTTTAATATGGCCCACAGGCCACAGGCGCGTGAGATCCCCCAAAGCCCTCTCTAAAGGAAATGAGAACTTTCACACCAGAGTGTGAATAATAATGTCTCCACTTCCTAATGTGTCAGAATAGAAAAMGCTCACTATTTCAGGATATAGGAGACCCAAATTTGTGCCTGGGTTCTATACTAGCGTGTGACCTTGGGGCAGGTTAATTATTCTCTGAGACTTGGCTTATTCACCTGGAAATGAGGACCATTCCCAATTTATTACTGTTGTTATTCTTATTGGAATCAGCGAGGACCCAGATACTAGCATTTGTGGGGCAAAGAAACAACTGGGTTTCAAAGGCCCAAGAGATCTCCACCATGATGGTAGCCATCTGCTTCTKGGTACCAATAATCTTGCATTTCTGCRTCTAAACTTTGGGGTCACATGGCCTGACATACATTCTGGAAGTTGTTGAAAGACTTCAGTTCTACAGAATGTCTTCCTGCCATAAAACCCCCTCCACTGAATGTCCAGCATAGGGATAAGAGGGGCAGAGAAGAGTCCACTATAGAAAACACCAGAAGTGGAAATGGACATGCTCAAGCACCAAATGCCTGGCTCCTGGGGCCCTTCCTCGGGCAGCCCTTACCAATGGTGGTCTCACAGAACTTCTCCGCAGCCACCTCGCTGGCAATGTTGGCGCCCATCAGCACACTGATGTCAATGCCCATCTTCTCCCGGATGATGTCAGAAATGAGTTTCAGTCCCTCGGGGCCCTCGTCTATGCCCTACGAGGATGTCAAGAAGTTAGTAGGGGAACCACCAAATCAAAGAGGCTTGAGTCACTGCTTTATAAGTCATCTAGATTTAGATTACCAATGGTATGCACGACTTGAAAAATCTCTCTTAATTACAAGGGAAAATGTACCGACTGCATACGTACTGCTTAAAGAATAGTAAGCTGAAGGGAGTAACACAAACCTGTCTCCACCACTCAGGTTAAGAAATAGAACATGATCAACTCCGAGCACCACAAAAAAAAAAAAAAAAAGAAAAAGAAAAAGAAAAAAAGAATAGAATAGAACATGACCAAAAATCCCAGAAGTCCCCTGTGTCTCTGCCTTCACCCTCCCCTCCCCTAGACYGAACCACTACCCTGAATGTAGTAGGCATTGCCCTTGCTTTTCCTCATCACTTTGTCACACATAACTGCCCTAAGCAATTTTAAGCCCTTATGCCTCCTTTCAAAAGTCTATATAAATGGAATTGCACGGTTCACCTGGGATATGCTGTTTTGTGCTACAYTCTTATTTTAGAGATTTACCCAGGTGGCTACATGAAGGTTCTGGTTCACTTCTGTTCACTGCTACATAGTATTCCAAAATGAATAGTTCACAATTCATTTATCCACTCTATTGCTGATTGACRTGTGGGCTATTCCAGTTTACTTTCATAAACATTCACCTATGAACATTCTGGTACAGTCGCTTTATGGAGTTCATGACTTTTTTTTAATGTCCTGGACTCCACCTCTAGTGGTGTGGTGAAATTTACAAGCTCATCTTTAAAATTTCCCATGCATAAAAACAAAATATATAAGATTACCTAGRAAGCCAATCATATTAAGATAGTTATCAAAATTTTTTGTGAAACTCCAAATTTGAGATCAAGTAATATATGCACTGTTTTATRAACGTACCTAGAAAAAGATGTCATGACAGGTCTCATAATTATTATTATAATTTTCAAGAAGCAACAAGCATAAATGGCATCTAGAGAGATTKGAAACTATTGTAAAGTGATGTGATATGAAAGTCCCTTCAACGGACAACAGGATCATAGGTCCTGCGAACATATTGTTATTGAAACACTGGCTGTGTTTCTAAATGTCCATTTCAGTTAGAGGTTAAAGTGAATAAAAATACAAGGTTTTCTTTCCACCATTAAATGCATGAAGCTCTGAGGGTGGTTTGAGAACTTCTGGTTAAAAAAAAAACAAACAAACCACCTTCTTTAGGACATATACCCAGGAATGGTATTTCCCATTCAATTCAATTTCCCAGCTAATGCAAAGTGGTGACTCCAAGATGCAGGCTGAGCCCCAGAGTGGGCTACAGGTTGACAGCAGGGCTTATCAGGGCAGCCATCCTCATGTCACTCCGCTGCTCACCTGCTACCATAGAAAAGCAGCCTTGCACTTGAAGTTGGCCTAAACTAGGCTTCGGACGTTTGCTTTATTTTTTAAAATCACCTTTTTAGGCATCTTTTAA